CTTAAACTCTTCACTATAGCCTTATAGTGAAGTTGAGGTCTAGGACATAGAGTTCGTTATAACAAGAGTTGACTGTAGTCAGTTACATTTTATCCTAGTTGTTGATGAATTAATTCTAAATCTGTCATTCATTTATTCTTTATAGTAGCATTAGCAAAATAATTCAAGAAATGATTGGTGAAATTATATTAACTTCCTGGTAGCTTTAGTTTTGAAAATTAACTTAGTTTTTATCATACCATTTGGTAGCAGCGTTTCTTAAATATCCTGCAATAATAGCTATCTTTTTGTTATTAGTCTATTAATTAGCTGTAGCTGCTCATTCAAAAGAAGCAAGTTACTTGTAAGAGTCTTTACTATCTATTTCATGAAAATAATTAGGTTTGACTAAATTTTAGTTCTGTTCTATTTGCGTAGACTACACTTTCTGTTGGATTGGCATTCATAGTTTATAATATCATAGTCATTTGTTAAAGTAATTATATCATTTGGAAATTATTATAATTAGTATTAGTATTAAAGATATTTGAATTAAATGCGGGTTGAGTAGAAATAGGTTGGATTAAAGCAATTCCAAATCTTATGTTTTCTGTATTTGACATATTAAATGTGTTAGATGTATTTAATCTTCACTGATATGATTGACTATTCTGTTAAGCTATATTATCTCCAGTTCTAAATCTAAAGAAGAGATTAAAACTTCTTACATTTGTACTTGGCAAGGGATTTATACTTGAACGATTCTTATATTGAAAAGGATTAGGGTTACTTTTAGTCAATTTAAAAGTGACCTTCTTAGATTCAGTTGCTCTAAATGTATTTATGAGATTTTTTACGAAAATAGATGCAGTGGTAGTTTCTAGTTCACCAATAGTTGTTTAGTTGAAAATAGTTGAAGTACTTGAACTTAATTGATATCTTCTAAATTCTAATTTTTATTATTCATCTAAAATGATAAATATTGATTTTTTATATTTTTTATACATCTAAATACATCATCTTAAATATATAAAGAGTATGTCTACCTCAATTTTAAAAACTCATTATCGGCGGAGTGTTATTATTTTAACACCTGGCCAAATCGAAGAAATTAGACATCTCAAAAATAAAGTTCCAGTATACATGATAGTAAAAGAATATTATATTAATAAAAATCGTATTCATGATATATGAAATGATTATGAGCAATCACAGCAAAATGAAAACTACTTTTTGAGAAGTTTAAGAAGGTACAATTCATCTTATCAGTCACATCTTCAGAGAATAATCCGCAAGATAAAGAAAATAATCATCTAATTTCAGGATCTTTAGATCCATTTCATGAGATGAATGCGCAAGAAAAGTAAAAAATAAAGAAATTAATAAAGCGCTCCCTTCAGGACCAGCCTAAATCTATTTAAAGTTCTGATTTATTTGAGATTTCAGTCAGAGGGTTTTTATCAAAACTTCACCCTAGACATCTCATATAATATATTTGCTTTAATCAAAAAGGATTATATTAAAGCAGATGAAGCTATACGTGAATCAGAAAAGCTCCTAAGTCATAATTTATCCTTTAATTATATTCAGACAAAAAATACTTTGCAGGAGTCTAGTGAGACTATAGTTCAAAATATAAAATTTTTTAATTTGTAATGTTTGCACAATCATATGTTATTTCACTTGAAACTTTGAATTTTGGATTGACTAATTTTATATAATATGATAATTTAATTATATAATGAGCAAAATAATTAATATAGTAATATAAGTATATCTGCTATGCTGATAAATACAGAGATAAAACTGAAAGATAATATATCTTTAATGAGTCCAATAAGATCATTTATATTTGCTATTACCTTTTATTATCAGCGTTTTTTGTTAATAAAAATAAAAAATAATTAAAAAGATTATTTATTTTAGAAAAAAAAAAGAAGCGAGAGGAGTAAAAGGGGAAATAAAGAATAGAAAGTAAAAATATTCAAATTACTTGTAAAGTATTTTAGTCATTTTAAAAATTTGTTATTTAAGCGATGTAATATTTTTAAGTGTTACTGTATATTTGTAAATATATTAATAAATTAAATTATTGCAAATTATAATTTTAAATGCATTTTTTTTTTAGAATTATAGTAAAAAATAAAAAAAAAATATGTATTTAAAGAATAGGTATATTTAAAAATTTTTTTATTTTTATATACTTAAATTTAAATAAGATTTAAATATATAGATTATGTATTTAAAGAGATTACATTTGAAGAATTTGTTTGTATAATAATTTATACTATTGTAAATTTATAAAACAATTTTTACATTTTTAATATAGGATTATTATAATAGCTTTAATTATTATATAATAATTAAAGAACTTGAATAGACCTATCTTTTATATGGGTTCTAACTTTTTAGAGTTATTACTTTATATTCGTATATATGATTTGTTATAGATCAACACTAAATTAAGTTATTATAAAAAACGTATATGTACCCAAACTATAAAAGTTAAGAGTATATATTCTCATTATATTTCTACTTGTTTATTATTCCATCTCACTTTCACTATACATAACCAGAAGATGTTCAACTAAATGATAAGATAAAACATGAGTAAAAGGTTTCAAGAATCAAAGAATTATTCTTTCAAGTAATTAAGTGTAAATATTACTTCATAAAAATTCACCAACGATTTAGAGAGAAAATAAATCATTATAAACATCAGGAGAAGCAGCAGCACATGCTATTTTAGATTCTATATTAAATTTTAAATTTTAATCATTTAATAAAAAGTTTAAATTTGTTGATCATAAAAAGAACCTCGAGTTCGGTAAAAAAAACAAATCTATAGGTTCGCTAAAAAAAAATAATTAACTGATTCGGATCATTAATACCGTATCTTCACGATAATTCGGCGACTTCACTAACGATCGATGCAAATTTGATTGGTTGGATGTGCCACTTCAGGTGGCAAAAAGACATGAAGTTATACGGCGATTTACCCGTGATGTTACCATAAAAAGTATTCTTTTTGATCCGAAAATGCGCAGCAATTTGTTGATCCAATAAAAAGGATGCCACCAGTAAAGTTGCTTACAACCCTTCCAGGAATTCTTCCGTTCCGGGTTCTCCTCCGATTCTATTGAAAGATTCATAATCTTCGGCCTGGATTACAATTAAGAAGGTTTTTGTCATTTACCGATTGGCAAAAGTTGATCAAGTTCTTTGGGCACCTGTTATTCGTCATTGCCGACGGCAATCCAAATAATACGATTAAAATTCATGAGGACTATTTTCTAATGCAACATAAATAGTCTAGATTTATTAAATAAATTAAAGAATTTATTGAATAAATTATGCAGGAGCTTCATAAAAAAAAAAATTAAAAAAAAAATTAAAATTAAAAAAAACGAAAACTATTCGTAAATAATTTTTCCGTCGTTAATCTATGTGTGATACGCATATAATATGGATAAAATTGTTATTGTGCAGCATAACTGACATATTTGACGTTATATAAAAAAAAAAAAAAAATAAAAAATTACATTGATAATCCGATATCATTTAGTAAATTTTTTTTTTTTAAAAAAAAAAAGGAAGAAATAGATCGTTATTATTATGGAGTACAGAAATCGGATTTATTTATTGCGGAGGGGCAAATATTGATTGTGGAGTACAGGAAAAAAAAAAAAAAATAAAATAAAAAAAAATTTCATTTAGATCATTTAGATATAGATATATGATTTGAATTGTGATTATCCTTCGTACCATGATGTTGTGACAATGTTTCTTTGCCCAAGTGTTCACGAGACACGTAACATAATTATGAGAGCATGCATTACCGCGGTAGATTTATTTACTTGTAAGAGAGTTAAATTTATTTTTATACACAACGATCAGCGAAATAGAAACTCAATACACGTAAATAGTTAAGTGTAATGATTAATGAAAAAAAAAAAAAAAATTTTTTTAATGTGACCATTATCATATTGTGCAACGCATATCTTTTCATTCAACCGCAATATATTGTCCGGAATGCAAGCGTTATACAAACTTAAAAGGAGTCTATTGATGTCATTAACATTCAAAAAGGTTTATATTGTTTGATAAAGTTTTAAAGAGATGAGATGGTTGAGAGAAAAAAAAAAAATTTTTTTCTTTGTGCATACATAATGATAATGTGATTCCGTCAAAATGCTGGCAATATGAATTTGGATTGCAAAAAAGAATTCCAAAGCCATCAAAAGAATTTTCATGAGCAAGGAATGCATTGGCACAAGTGATATACAGAAATTAGAATCTGTAGTATAAAATATATAAGATATTAAAAAACGATCTTATTGAAATGAATGAAGACAAATTGTCCCATTGTCTTTTGGTTACTAATTTAGTCCTTATTAAATTTCTATACTAAAATATACAGTTAAAATTTTACATCATTTCTTCTAACTGTAAAAGTTTTAAAATGCATATTCAAAAGGCGGGAAAATACCCATTCATTGGTCAGATGAATGATACACGCCCGCCAAAATGTAAACATATCAGCATATCAGATTTTTCTCAAAAAAAAAAAAAAAAATTTCAAAAAAAAGATATATATTATATATATATATTTTTTTTCTATGAAGAACGTGAAAAAAAAAAGCGGAAGGTAAATGGAAAACAATAAAAAATCGACAACATTTATATATATTATATGTGTGACTCATGTGGACGTTTCAAAACGTGCGAACTGTTTTGTCACACCTACTAAAAACATCATTAAAATTACAACTGCCATACATATACTTTCGAAGTAATGATATTCATTAATGTTTTTATTATGTACGCTTAACCTGTTATTGCCAACCTTCCACTTGTTCACGACAGATATGCAACCAACTCTTGCCATAAAGATGGGATTGCACCTTGTTTATTGACTGTAGATCCTAGAGATATTGCTACGTTGACCCCAAAGTTCCTTAGCACGGTGTTTAAGCATTTTAAAAATGATATCCCCGATTCAAATTGGGATTTAAAGCTACATTTAGCTATCACAATGGTTCGCGGAATTCTTCAACGAGGAAAACATAAGACAATTGAAAAACAACAAAAATTACTTGCAAAAGCTCATATACCCTCTCCACCTTCCATATCTATAAAAAAGGCGATAGTACCAGAAACATGTCGTTCACAAGCTGAAGATATAATGGCAGGTTTATTAAGCGGTCAAGAAGAGAAAGTCGGTTGGAGATGGAAAGAAGATCCGATGAAACAAAATCCAATCAAAGGGGAATGGATTGAGGCTAAAAATAGGAAAAAGATAACGTCCGCGGATCGTGTAATTCTTTATATACATGGTGGTGCTTACTTCATGGGAAGTGCCGCTCAGCATAGGTTTTTAATACAAAGGGTCGCTAAAGCTGGCGCCGCTAGGGCTTTTAGTTTTGATTATAGGCTTGCACCTCAATCTCCTTTTCCCGCCGCTGTCGTTGATACTTTGGCCGCATATTTTTATTTAATACAACCTCCCGCTGATGCCGGGTTTGATCCGATAAGCCCAAAAAATATTGTTGTAATGGGTGATTCTGCCGGAGGTGGTTTAGCCTTATCAATCATGCTCGTACTTCGAGACGCTGGCCTTCCTCAACCTGCTGGCGCAGCATGTTGGTCTCCTTGGGTCGATCTTTTTCATTCTTTGCCTTCGATATTTTCAAACGCTTCAACCGATTATATACCGAACGGTTTTGTAAATAAAGCGTCACCTGCTAATCCGATAAAGGATTATACCAACGTAAAGGAAAGGTTAGAGAGGGTTCAATATTATGCCTATAATTCCGCTTTATCCATACCTTATGTATCTCCAATTCTTGCTGATGATTTGGGAGGTTTAGGTGAAATTTTCATCGTACGTATTCGTGGCTTGTTGTGCAATTCCCCGATTGGGACACTCATCATTTAGAGATTATTTATTTATTTATTTATTTATTTTTTTCTTTCATGACTTTTAGACGTGTGGAAATGGAGAAAGGCTGAGGGATGAGGCAATTTTATTTTCTCATAAAGCATCGAAAACACATCCTGAAGTTTTCGAGTGCAAAAAACCAGGAGTTCGAGCGTTCCCACCGACAAAGGTTTCTCTAAACATTTACGAGTAAGTTATCGTCATATGCAATTTCAATGAATATAAAATTTAACGAACGTTTATTAAAAAACTTTATTACTTTTTTCGTCGTTTAGGGCCATGCCACACGTTTTTCAATTGTTCCTGTTTCATCCGGCGGCTAGTAACGCAATGAAACGCACAGGTGCTTTCATTCGAAAAATCATACCCGAACCAACAAACGATTCGTCAAGCTCATCATCACATTCGTCCTTCTCATCGATATACTCCAATTCCTCTTCGAGATGTTACTACCATCGAGAAAAGGAAGTTTCGAGTATCAAGGACATGAATACGTTAAAACAAAAACAATCGTCGACATCGTTACAAGAGTTTTTTGATGATGAGATTGATGAGGATATGAATGAAGATGGGGAAATAAATAATTTCACCAACAAACATATTGATATTAAAGGGAATTGCAAACGAACCAATGATATGTTGGACGAAGGTACTTTACGTGAGTGGGCTAATATGTTGGGAAAATTTCCCGATTTGAAACTTCATCCGGAATTTATGGATGTTTAATTAATTTATAGAGATTTTTATTTAAATATATATACACAGTAAATAATACCTTTTACATAATTATAATCTCCCCAACTTTTTTTTTTTAAATATTCCTTTCTTTGTACAGTTATAAAACCTTTAATTTAATCTAATGATATACTTTTTACATTATAATGTTAAGGATGTAATGGTATCTCAATTAATTGTAGTTAGCTTGATTTACTCAATTAGTTAGTAAAAATATTAATTAATGATGATCGTTTAAACAAGAAAAACACAATCCTTACTTATTTTTATATGATGAATATTCATATGAATGTTAATGACTTTATTTTTTGATAAAAAAAAAAATATATATAAATATAAATAAAAAATATATTTGAAAAAAAAAAAAACTCCCCACGTCTTTTTTTTTTTTTTTGATTGATGCCTAAAGAGAAAAAAAAAAAAAATTTTTTTCTTTTTAAAGTGTCGAGTGAGCTCGTTTCATCATTCGTAAAACGATTTGCGAAATCTGATCTAATCTAGGATGTATGATCTCATCATCGAGTACGTAATAGATCATCAGCAAAAAACTTGATCATTTCAAAAAGATTGTCAGTCTTGAGGTTATGTGATGTATTTAAGGTACGTGTGATGTGAGATTTTCTCCGTGAATAAAGATTGATTTGGAAAAGTTAAGGTTAAGAGATTTCGAAGGAATTAAAATAATCAGGAATTTTTTTTCGGCTGAGCAAACCAACCTTTTTGTGTACAAAAACAACACCAAATATTGTTGGGATGTTGGGCAAAATGATTGATTCATGGTAGTCACATGCGCGTAAACGCAGGTGAAGGGAGCTTAGACATTAATCTAAAATAGGTTTAGATTGGCAACTTTAGAGTGTAAGGGTATTGTGATTATTCTAACACGTGAATCTCATTGTATTATAAACCCCAGCCGGTTGAGCCGTTTGGACGGCAAAGATAAGATCGTTGATTTATAATCATTGCGAACGTGATTGTATTGTAAATAAAATGAAAAATGATACGATTTTTGGTAACTTAATTATTTTGATACTGTATATGCATGAATTCCTTTTTTTTTTCTAAAAAGAAAAAAAAAAAACTTTTGTTCTCCTGTTTAAACAGGTATTATCATTAGGCCAAGATGAACCGGATTGTATTTTCTATTAAAAGCAAAATACAAACAAATATAAAAGAAACCACTTTCGAAAATGCTAAAAGAAAATCATGGCTGATCCGTGCAGATGTGAAGTTTCATAACAAGGGCGTAAATGGATTTTGGGAAACTTACAGTATCGTCAAATCTAAGGAATTCATTCCAAAAACACTTATTGTATTTCAATATGTAAGACTACCCAAAAATAAACAAGTTTTCCTGCTGAAGATCAAACTTCATCATAATGATTTCTAAACTTGAATGAAACCCAAACAAGAACTTGCATCTTTTACAAAAAAAAAAAAAAAAAAAAAACGAGCCTAATCTTGTAACAGTCGGTTTGTAATTGGAACTTTACTATATTTATCTTCATATAATATCTTTAAATACCAAATGTTGCATGAACCAAGTTAAATCCTTGGCGCATGCGCAAAAAAAGAAGGTGTTACTTCCGATTTTGCCGCAGCACACATTCTTTTACTGCGGTCCTAATACAGTATATACGATCGACAAAGGAGAGAGGAACGCGTTTCCTTTTTTTTTCATATTATTTGAGGGGTTCATTCTGAATGTTATTACGTTAGTTCAATGATCCGGCCGTTTTTGGCCGATCGGCGAAATCAACAATCAAAATTAGTGACCTCATTGGAAAAACCAATAATTAGAACGTCCCGAGCCGTCTATTAGTTTCAATTTTTGCACAAAGTCGACATTTATTGTACTTTGTATTTTTTTATAAATTACTATACTTTGGATGTATATTTTGGCCGGCCAAACGCCCAACCTTTGATTCCAGTTCCATTTTTCGTAAGATTTCGATTATCCTTTTTTTTTTTTTTTGCGCAGCCTTGAATTCCAAAAACACTGATATCATTCATCATGGCTTTTTTTTTAAACAAGCCTCCATATCCAAAACTGCGAAATCGCTTGGACGTTGCAAAGAAAAAAAAAATTTGCTTACATGTTCATTGAAGCCACCTACCTACTAAGTCACAGAAAAAAAAAAATTGAAATTAAATAAATGGCTTATTTCGAATGACAAAATAAACCATTCGTAACGGAATTCCCCCCTCCCAAAATAAAATAAAATAAAATTTACATTTCAAGTTTGATAAAATTTAAGGATGTTTATCAAACGAATGTTAACGATTTTCGCGATCGCATCGTTATGCCATGTAATCATAGCACGCGCTGCGGAACCCATATCAAAGATTGTTGGGATCGATGAAAATAATAAATATATTGATGAATTCGGTAGACAGAGGTTCTTTCGTGGACTCAATGTTGTAGGTATTTGAAAATTCACTCGAGTCAGAAGAAACAAAAAATTATATATATTAAAAGTACTTTATTGTTATTTTGTTGAAAGGTTTATAAAGGATTCCCATATCATCCTAAAATTGATGCATTCGATCCGGTGACTTCGTTTGCCGAGAAAGACATGGAGGTAAATGACATCGTGAATGCTAAATATAGCAATAAAAATCGAGAAAAATATTGAAAACTTCTGATTCTATTAGATCTTGGCTAGCGTTAATATGAATATTATTAGACTTGGAGTTTTATGGGTCGGAGTTGAACCGGAACGAGGAAAATATAATGAAACTTATTTAAATATCATAAAAAATATTGTGGATAAGTGTAGCGATTACGGAATTTACGTGATGCTAGATTCTCATCAGGTGAGAAAAAGAGATGCTTAATCAACATGGGCGATTTGTTTCGTTAAATTAAAAAAAAAAAGTCTTCTTTTCGGTTTATGTATCAAAGGACGTAATGAGCGACTTATTCTGCGGAGAAGGCGTAAGTACCCCGATTTCTAAAAGGGAAACACCACCCGCCTTTTTCTGACCCTTCATTCTTTACTTTCATGATAAAAGTTCCCAAGATGGGCGGTTCGAACAGATGATTCATGGGCATTTCCGCTTCCGATAGGCCCACCAGCAGTATATGATCCAATGACAGGACTTCCGGACAAGAAAACGTGTGATAGAGTAAATTGGGCATTACTTTATTTTTCAAATGCGGTGAATGAAGCATGGCAAAGGTTATATGATAATTTTGATGGTTTAAGAGATTCATTCGCTGCTCAGTGGGTAAAGATCGCTTCGTTATTTAAAGATAGTAAAAGTCTGATTGGATATGATTTACTTAATGAACCTTGGCCTGGTGATACTCATGAAGATATTGGCCTTTGGATACCACGAAGTAAGCTCCCCTTTTTATTTTCTTTTTAACTTTTGAAATTTACCCTCCCTCCCCGCCTATGATAAGATGGTAACCGTTAAATTTTTTGTTCAAAGTAAACGTTCGTAAAAATTTAGGACCATTTTGGGATGCGATCAGCGCGGAAGTACGTAAAGTTGATAATAATAGCATCGTATTTTATACGGGGGTTACGTGGGATATATTTGGTAATGGATTTGATCATGTACCGGGAGGTCCCGATTATAAAAATCGAAGCGCGTTTGGTTATCATTATTATAGAGAAGTTAGAATAAAACCGCCTCATATTGATCTTCAAGTCCATATAGAAGATCTTAATCGAACAGGTGGTGCAACAATGGTAACTAGTTCTGATCACTTTTTTTTTTTTTTTTTAGAAAAGATTATACGGATTATTTATTTATTTTTTTTTTTTTTTTTTTTATTGTCATCAGCTAACAGAATTTGAAGCTGCTTATGACGGTGGGAAGAATCTCCCGGGTTTACTTAAAATCATCCAAGCAGCCGATCAATATTTACAATCATGGATAGGATGGCAATATAAAGATTTTTATCCATTAACAAGACAATTATTGGGGGATGGTTTAATTGATCCGGCATCGGGTGATATCAGACCAGACGTTGCATCAATATATTCCAGAACCTTTGCAGAGGCTGTCTCGGGAAATACTATTAGCATGAAATTTGATGAAAATGAATTTAGTTTGATTTATAAAATAAATCCAACCATTACGAAACCTACTATTATAAAGATTCAAGAAACGTACCATTACAGTAAAGGATTTATTGTAAATATTTCCCCAATAGGCAAGGTTGAATGGAAAAAAGATGGGAATTCCATTCTGGTGAATCCCATCAAAGGAGTAAACGTTATAATGGGTGAAATCATTACCATTAATATTGTTCCAGTCGTATAGACCATGCTTTTTATGTGAATTAATACTTTTGTAAATATTATATAAATGTAGCTCGGGTTTGTTTTTATTTAAAAAGAAAAAGATTTATAAAACCTTTCTTCTAACGAATGATTTATAACACACGTTTCTTGTAAATCTCATAACATGGTTAATTAATGCAGACGACATACGATATCCGAAATCTCATGATTAAATCACCATTTTATTATTTTATTACACGATTCAATAAATAAATTTGAGTATATTCGAATTGAAATAGATTGTTGATGGTTCGTAACTAGTTGTCGGAGGTATTGATCTGAGATAATCGAACTTCAAGATTTTCAATCGTCGAGACAAATTCTTCAATTCTTTTATTATGATCAGATTCATCTTGAATATTTTCATCTAACAATTGATCTAGTCTTTCTTTATATTGATTAATTTGGTTAATTAATTCTTCGTGAGCGTCTTTTGTAGACTTAATAACATCTCTCATTTCAAACATCTTTTTTAATGTATCTAGTGCGATTTCCGTTTCTTGATGTTTAAATTGCGTATATATTTCCATCGCTTCTGGACTTTGAAGTGACTTATTGGTATATTCTTGCATAAAATTATCTAATGAAACATCGAATTGATTATAATCCTAATGATGATAATAAACAAATTAATAAATAAATATAAAAAAAAAAAAAGAGAATATAAACGTATAATTATTTTATTTTCACCTCAAACAGATAATCAGCAGTTAATCCGGGTTTAATATGAACTCGCCATAAACTATTTGCCAAATTCAAATTATAATTCTTTATGTTATCAGAATTCATTTTAACGAATTTTTGTTTTTCCTTCTCAATCAAGCTATTAAACTCTTCCCTGGCATCCGTAGTTTGGTGATAATTTCCAATTAACTTCTCGGTAAACCTAAAATCAGCATCGGATAATATTATGGTGTGTTCGTAATCAAAGGAATCCCAATCTTTGGGAAAACGATCTGAAAATTTCGTCATCTTGTCATAATAATAAGAGACTCCCATATCTTTGGCTAAATTTGACATAAATTTGATGAGAGAAGTGTAATGTGTAGGTAACGATAACGCGTTTAAAGTGGTCGCGTTCATGTGTTGAATGCAATCTTTCAAGAATTTGGAAAATAAAATGCCGGACAATGGCTTGGAATTGATTTGTTTGGTGGAAATCGTATCGTAGATATAGGAGATCGTTTCTGAAGTTTGAGCAACAAAATCTGGATCAAGTTGGGACGTTTTAATTTGTTCTAAATTATGAAGAGCCTTTTTTTTACACCCTGGATGCTAATAAAGAAATTTTTTAGAAAGGTATTCTTAACAAAAGATTTTTTTAAAAAAAAAAAAATACAAACAGGCAAAGCGTAAACATCAAAATCCTCAAAATGATTTAAGATCCCATCAGCGGCTACGTCAAAATCGAAAATCGAAGATCAAAAATCATTTATTTTTATTTTAAAACAAAAAGAAAAAAAAAATCTTCATTAAAAATGTAACTTACCATCAGGATCAACTTGTGTCAACTTATCCAGAAAATATTCCTTAAAATCATCAGGACATTCCAATCCAAAATCCCTCAATAACACGACAAGTCTTGGTAAGTAATCCTTTTCATTCTCTTCACCTTTTGCCAAAAATTTACTTAAATCAGTCATCATGAATAACTTTCCAATATCATCCCTACCAACGATACCATTAATATTATAAATAAAAGTAGAAGAGATCGCGAGGCATAATATAAATAATTTCTTGGCCCAAATTTCATCCTGTTTCGGGTCATCAATTCCTTCACAATCCAATACGATGACTCTGTGATCTTTGTAAAGAAATGGCGTATCCCACATGAAAATTCCTTTGGTACAACTATCTACTTTTGAACCGAGTTCGAAACCGTCATGCCTTCCATGTAAAACATTTGCAAAGTACGATTTTCCTCTACGATATGACCCAACTTTTTCATGATAATAATAAGAAAAAAATTTTTAACGTAACCACTTAATATTAACAAGAATAAAAAAAAATAAAACAAAAAAAAAAAGGTTAAGAAATTAGATACCGATTGAAATTATTGCAACGGGTTCTTCAATATCTTGAATGATCTTAAGACCTTCTTTAATTAACGTTATCGTTCCAATCTCATCATTTATACCTTTCTCATATTTAACAAGTTGAATCGCTTTTCCTTTGCGATAAGGTATATTTTCTCCAAATTCATTTCCATTATCATCTTGATAATACATTTTTTTTTTTTTTTTTTTTTTTTTCCAGAAATTTAAAAGAAATAAAAGAAATAAAGGAGCAAGTGTGAAAAATTCATTGTATTTATCTTAAAATGGTCATTGTTTCCGTATTTGGCCAAATTTTCATACAAATTTAGTTATAAAAGAATGCAAGTGCGTATACCTACTTCATTTTTGTCAAAAAAAAAAAAAAAAAAAAAAAATGCATGAACCTGAGACACCATTCCATTATAAGCATTTTAACTAAGGAGTTTGAAGTCTCTATGGGATCCGATGTTATTCGCCACTTGATTACGGCGCAGAAACAATAACTATGCTGCGCCAAAGTAAAACATAAATATTTTAACTGAATACAGGTAAATTGACGTGAAATGTTTGAGGAAATGGAAAACATGCCTTTTCATTGGCGTCAATGTAAAAAAGAAAATATTTGGAAATATTTAAATAAAATGCATTATGATGATTATACTTTCTTGAATTCGATTACTTTAAAAGTTGCTTAACGGACTAGAGCAGTAGTAACATCATCCTTCTATTAAGCCAATTCGAAGAAATATATTTTCGAATAAAAGACTAATGCTTAATATCAATTACAGTATATTAAATATGAATCTAATGGTTGAGTTCTATTAAATTTTAGAATTTATTTTCATCATTTACGAACAATCGACTTGTAAGTTCTGATTCTTTTCTATACTTTTCTGTAAAAAAAATTACTTTACACTTACATAAAGTATTGTGATTTAACAACAACACGTCAAACGATGTAAGTTTGCGTAAGTTTATGTAGGCCTTCGTAAATTTTTCGTAAGTTTACACTAAAATGTTAAATGTTCCAATTTCTAATTCAAACAATACATTATTTCGTTCCTAGATTCTCCACGGGAAGTTTCTTAAAAGAAAAATATAATATTTTATTTTATTTGTCATCGTATGAAATCTATACCAACTAGAACACTTTAAATTACAACACCTTAAAATGTTATTAAAAAGCCGAATTATTTATAGTATTATACCAGAGTTTTTTTGTCAGAACTTAATTCTCCAAGGAAACGTTCACTCTCAAATAATTTAATTATAACACTCCAAAAAACTTCATCACAATCAAGGACGCGAATATGTCATAATGAAACGAAGCTATTGAGAATTAAAAGTAAACGCACAAAAAAGTTCCGTCTTTTAATAATATAAATCATTATTAGAACGAACACAATCCTTATTTATATGAATGGATCTAATCCCTCTTTGAAACCTTTAAATACAATTGATAAAATTATTTGTACTAATATTGGCTAGATTTACGAAATGATCTTAAAATGGTACAATGGTGAATGGTTTTTTTATTCTTTTTCAAAAAATATCAAACTTCAGCTTTGTAAAGTTGATTATTTATGAATGTCCTTACGCTCCCTTGAGAGAACTTCCATTCGAGAAATATTGCCCACCGGCTAATAAGCAAACATGTATTTATTTCAAACTTTGGAGTTTATGATATTGAGATTCGAATATCGTTTATCCTTTTTCGGATATTCGATCTGAGACATGTGCTACAATATGTTCATTTCGTTAAAACATGAAACAATATTTGCACGAGTGCGTGGAATGTGGCGCGGTTATTTTGTAATATCATGTTGTACACGGAATTTTTTTTTTCTTGTGATACAATTTAAAACTTGTACGAAACTAGAAAAAAAATTGATATCGTGTATTGCAGATCAGGGATTTGATTTCTGAAATGAGAACGCTAATTGCTTATGGGTTATTAATTAGTACAATAACAAAACGTTTGTGTTGCAATCAAGTGTATTTACACCATCAGAAGGTTAACCGATTTCCAATTGATTAACCAAAATTGAGATTTGTTACCATATTTTTTTTTTTTGTGTATCTTTTAAATAAAAGGTCAGGAGGGCAATATTCATAATGGCGTAAAGTAGTAACAATGGAAAAAGAAAAGAAAGAAAGAAAAAAAAAAAAAAAAAAAAATGAAGCGTTTGAATTAATCAAATCCTTTCACAATGGAATGGTTATGTTCATGTAAGGTGGTGAGATTATGTGCACAATTTCGTAATACATCTACCTATAAATTCTGTGTGGTAAACCTTCTGAAGGGACATGTATTATAATGTTGTGATTAATTTTGGAAAGTTTATTAGAATAAGCCTTTTGTTTTACAATTATTGATGTAAAGTTTTTTGTTTTGTCGGCACAAAATGTACGAATTTATTCAAAATTATCGTAGGTCAGATCAACCCCATTCTAAGTTGACAATATAGTTCACCTGATAAGCCCACAATTTTTAAAAAGAAAAGGCTATAAGAGGTAATATTTTTGAAATCATATATTGGATTAATGTCTGCTTTTTCCTGCTTGTCTTCATTTTGCTTTTTTTAATAAACATTTCATATATAATTTTTTTTTTTCACCTCACACTCTTTATATATCAACAAATTTTAATTTTTTTTTTATCGTAAATAAACAAAATTTTTATTTTCCCTTCCTTTTTTTTTTTTTTTTTTTTTTTTTTTTTTTTTTTTTTTTTTTTTTCATTTTGTAATTTTTTTATTTCTTCATTTCTCCTGTCTTTATTTTTTTATTTTTTTATTTATTTTTTATTTGTTTTCATATTTGTTATTTTATTTTTATATTTATTTTTTTATTTGTTTTTATATTTGTTATTTTATTTTTATATTTGGTTTTTTTTGTTTTTGTATTATTTTTTTATTTTTTTGATTTTATTTTTTATTTTTTTTATTTTTCTTCTTCCTCTTCTTGTCTTTTTTTTCATTTTCTTTTTTTCATTATTTTTTTCTATTTTCTTTTTTTTTCTTTGAATTTTTTTATTTTTGTATATTATTTTTGATTTTTTAATTATTTGATTTATTTTTATTTTTTTGAATTTTTTTATTTTAATATTTAATTTTTCGTTTTTTAATATTTTTTAATATTTTTAATTTTTAGCAAAGTTTTTTCATTACTACTATTATTAAAACTGTAATTTATATTATTATTCTTATTACTATTATTATTTTGTTATTATGATTTAAACCAAAGATCATATTATATTTTAAAAAATAATAAAATTTATTTTTTTAGTAGTTTTTTTTAAAAATAATTTTTTATATTTAAATGTTTATAAATTAATTTACTTGAAACTTAATTGAACTTGACTCAGTTCAAATAAATTCAAATCAAAATCAAGTCAAGTTAAACTTGAGTCAAATCAAATTGAATTGAGTTTAAAATTTATATAATTTAAATCAAGTTAAATTAAAAGATTTTATAAAATAAATTTGACTTGACTCAACTTAAAAAAAATGAGTTAATTAAAGCTGATCTTTAAACTCGATTTGACTCAACTCATTTAGAATTTTAGTAGTTATATATTATTATAAAGAATATTATTATCACCTATATAAATCTAATTCTTTTTAAGTAATCTATTGTATATGATTTCTATGGTTTAAATAATAATCCTGCAATAAAGTAATATAAAATATCTTTATAAAATTATATTTAATAGCATATTAAACAATAGTTAAAAATTAAAAAAATTAGACTTAATTTACTATTATATATTAATAAATAAAAAATATATATATAATTATGTATTATTTAATACATTAAAAGAAAAATATCTTTTGATAAGTTTATCAGCTTATTTATTTTTTAGATTTAATACTTCATTTGTTAATCCTGATTTGCTTTCATATAATTCTTTTAAATACTAAAAGTATTTAACTGATATAATAAAATTACCAATTAAACAAATTCGTATACCTTTATTATGAATATTTCAACCTATATTAATAATGATTTACAATTTATAAATTATTGAAAAATGTGAGAATTTTAAAAATAAATCTTACCTTTTTTAATATAATAAAAAATATTAGTTTTATTAATTAAGATCTAGCCATTATTAATTTAATAGAAAATTTTCTTAAAAAAAATGGTTTTTATTCTAAAATTATTAAATAGTTATTAATAATAATTATAATAATTAGTAACACATTTACCATTATAATATCAAGATCATTATAAACTGATGAATTTTTATTATAAGTTTCTCTAATATAAGACTAATTATAAATAATATTATTAAAGTAAAGTCTAATAAGTTTAGCATTTGATTTTATTAATTCTTTTAAAATAATATTATTTTCAAAAAATATATTATTTTTAGTTTTTTTTGATTTGATTGTATAAGACTAATAATAGAATATCTAATAAAATAACTGATAATATAAAAATAGTAATATATATTGCTTTATTAAATGATAAAATTTTTGCACAAAGCTTTTTAATAGTCATTAAATGAGATATTATTGAATTGTAATATCAAAAAGTTTTGAAAGATATTAATCTTAATATTAAATAATACTAATGTTAGTTGATACTTCAAAATATAAGATAACAAATACTATAACAACTAACACTGACTGTATATTAACTAATATTAATCAAAATTATATAAAAAATAGATTTTAATATTAAATTATATATATCTTATTTATTAGTTAATGCATAAAAATAAAAATTTTAATTAATACATAAAAAATAAAAATTTTAGTTAATACATAAAAATAAAAATTTTAATTGACGTATAATTACTATATTTAAAAATAATAATAAATTAATAAAAATTAATCATCATTATATTGATTATTTCTTTCTTTAACATCATTATTTTTAGAATCTGCATCTGATTGTCTAATATTTTTATCATCCTATATTAGTTAAAATATATTAAAATACAATTAATAAAATAACAAAATCATAAAAAATCACAAAAGAAATTAATATCTTAATAAGATTTAAATACTATTTATCAATAGTATCAGTATTTATCTTAGATAATAAGTAACTTTTATCAAATATTATTTCTAGTATCGTTTAATACTACATTATATTCTTTCTTAATTATTCTTTATCAGATATAAAAATCTTCTTGATGATTAAAAATAAATAGGTTTCATTAGAATCAACTGTATTATAAAAATCTTTATAAATTTTTCTAATGCTACTACTAGTTTTTTAATATTTTATTTATTCTCTCATATAATTTTCATTAAAAAGCTTAATTCTATGAATTTTAAATGTTACCTACAAAGCTTCTTTAATATAATAAATATAATATTCTTTTATAACTTAATTTCTTTTAAGTAATTATATAATATACTTATTAATTCAAGCGATACAAATGACTCTTTTCATAATGGCCAACTTTTGATTTTTATACGTCTGCAATATCAAATTGGCATAAGCTCAATTTCTCATATAAGTGATCTAAATTCATTGACAAAAAACAGTTATTTTGATGGGATACTAAAAGTTGATGGTCAGATCAAACCTATTTGGATTCTTTTAATCGACGGAAGTCCTGATGAAAATTTACACCACATGAAGAATATCTTTCAATATTATAGAATGTTTTGTGCATTTGATCTTAATTATCTTTCCATTCAAACATATATACCTAGCCAATCAGCATATAATCTTGTTGAGCATAATATGGTAACGCTCTCTCAAAAGCTAGCTGAGATAACATTACTAATTGATAAACATGGTTCCTATCTTAACTCTTAAGGCCAAGTGGTTAACTTAGAGCTTACAATGAAAAATATGTGTTACGCTGATGAAGCTTTATGTGCTCTTTAGGATCGTGATCCTATCTTCAAAAGATCAGTTACAATATAGTATATTAATCAAAAAAGCTCTCTATTCGAAGATATCATGTTTCCTGCATGTGGCAAAGAAAATACCAAAGAATTAATTGTATCCTGGCAATAGCTAGAAAATCACACTAAGATGTGTCAATATTCTTTTAATATTAAAAAATGTGAAAATCCACTTTGTTGTTTGCTTAAACATTATAAAGAGTCAACCATCCTTCTTGTAGAAAATAATGAATTCCTTCTACCTGTAACAAAAGAAAAAGATAATCATTTCTTAAATCTGCTTTATATATTAGAATATTATAATAAACTCAAAATACCTAGATATGATGCCTATTGTTCTTCCATTAATTTAAACACTTATACTTGTCTCTGCTGTTCTAATTGCAATGCATATTTTCTGACTCTTTTCATAGTTATCCTACATAAAAAAAATCAACATCCAAAATGACAAAGACGATTAACTAAGCAAAAAAGCTACTTACCAATTTTATTGATGATTTTTCAGTTGTATTTACATTAGCTGAACAAGTATTAGGCTTATATAATCAGAAAATACAATCAGATAGTGAGTAAAGAGGTTATTAAAAAGTTAGGGCAGATTTTTTAAGTGAGAAAAAAAAAGTTAGTAAATTTACGATGTGCTAAATCATTAAATTATATAAATATTATATTCTACTAATACATAAATTATTTAAGAAAGTCTAATTCATCGATTAAAATATTATTGTTATTAGAATTTGTTATATATTTTTTGAATTTGTATGTTTTTTTTAAGATGACATGTATCATATTAGATTTATTATTAGATTATTGTTGTATAAGATCATAATATGTCATGTAGATCATGTAATCTGAATCTTTATCCTGATTGGCTAATTATAGAGGTGAAATATTTGAAACCCCTTTCCTTTCTTTAATAATTACATCATATATATAAGCTCCCTTATATATACTAAATAATTCGTTATAGCATTAACAAAGATTTTTATAATGAAGTCCTGATCAGCTAGATCAGCAACTTTGTTATATTGAGGTGTGACTGTATGTAGTTAGTTTAGAATATAAATAATATTAATATACTGAGATAATGTAAAATAAATGATGAAAAGTTAAAAATTACCTATATCACCTCTTTAAATACTACCATTTTCTCATATTTCATCTTTTTAAACTCACATTCATGTTGAAAAAGAGATAGGAAAAAATATGCAAGGCACTTTACGTTAAAATTTTATGTTCATTAGTAAAAGATATATGAAATATACATTAAAAATCTTAACATTTACAAAGGCGTTAGGGATAATGCATATACAAACTTTTTTCACTCACTTGACTGCTTAGTAATAAAAACCTAGTAACATTATATAAATATACTCTGGTCAAAATTTAGTAGGAATAGCCTGTAACTTTGAAGGAAATAAACTCATAAATAAATGTTAGCTCCTTCAAAAAAATAAATTTTTTTAAAATGAAAAACCAATTACCACACAGATCGATAGATTAAGAGAGTATCGCATAAATAATTATACAGAGTTACAGATGATTTGTGATATATCATTTATTACATTATACACATTTTAACGAGAATTAAAAATGTACTAATTTATGTCGTATATGCCAATATGCATTATGGCTTGATAATGATTTGAAAATTTTAACGCATTAATTCACTATTATTATCTAAATCTGAGAAATTTACGGTAACATCCTTTTCATGAATATAATATAGGTAATTCTGATAGCAATAAATTACATATTCTTTTTATTTCTACTGATTTACTCCTATATTTCACATAGTCTGAAATTTTGATAATATTCTTAAAGTTATATTTTTTATCAATAAGATAAAATTTGGGATTCTGTAAACATTTTAATATGTTATATCAAGTTGTATCTCTAATAACTATATAGCCTTGCTGATATAATACTCTAAAAGTAGCTAGGTATATTACAGTACATAATCATTCATATAACTGATTTCTCTTCACTTTTGTTTAAGTAGTAGCAGAATAAATATTATGCCTATTGTCTATATAAAATCAGTCATTTATATAATTAGATTCTATTAGTTTTTCATTAATAAAATGATATATTTTATCACGAGGAATAATATCTAAAAACTTCTTATTGTTAGAAGTAGCATCATTTCTTATCACCTCCCAAACCTATTTTGTCAAAGACTCAGGTCTTTTTTTGTAATTCTTATAAGCTTGTTGGATAACTACTACATAGAAATTTTCAAACTGATAGTTATATTTTCTTGTAATTAAGAATCCCCAAAATCACTTTATTGATCTTTCTGAACTTCTCAAAAATACTTTATTAAAATAAATTAAAAGATTTAACCTAGAATAGATAGATCATACATAGCATCTGCAGATGATACATTTCATAATTTCACTAGGCAATTATATATACAAATTAATATAGCTATTCATCTCGTAAAAAAAAATAAAATATATCATGAAATTGCATTTTTAACAAAATATAATTAAGATAGATAATACTAATATTCAGTTGAAAGATATTAAGTTTATTTTTTTCTTGCATTTGTCTGCATAGAATCAAAATATGCTTCAGCAAGATCATCTAAAATAATCCTGCTAGAAATATTAGACATTTTTGATCGATCATTCCAAAGATTTCTAATCTCAAGTGTACTTGCATTACATTATCTAGCAGGTAAAATATAAGCTAACCCAAAATTTGAAGCATTTAATATAGTATTTTCTGCTATAATTGCTTTGGCCAAAAGGTAAGTTTCATAGCTGATTGAATAAGTATCATAATTATATAATATCAATGCCAATTTATTCTTTTCTGAGTATAGGGTAGATTGGAAAAAAAACTCTAGATGAAGATGATTAATTTTAACCTCTTTTTATAATACAGTCAATTCTTGATATAGCGAACTCTTGATATAACGAATTTTTTGAACAAATATAATAAAAATACTCTTGTTATAGCAAATTTGCCAATCAAATCTCTTAAAATCTTCACTATAGCCTTATATCAAAGTTGAGATCTAGGATATAGAGTTCGTTATAATAAGAGTTAACTGTATATATTATTTATATTGTCAGATCTGAAATTCTTTTCTACCAATAAATAAGAGAATTTTTTCTTTTCTTATATATTCTTTTGAAATAGTATCTCTATTAATATAACTCTTAAAGTGGTTATCTTAATAGAGATCAGCTCTAAGACTATTTTCAGATATGAAAATTAAGGAGTCATATACATTACAAAATATGTAATTTGATGACAAACTGTGTTTCTTATCACTAGTTTCATATAAAATTCTATATATTGTAATATATCCATTCTTAGAAAGAAATCTTAGATTCTCTTTTAGTATTTTTCTAAATGGATCATGAATACGAGAGTATCACATTTCTGGTATTTTATAATTATATTGTATACCTAAAAGATATAATGCTTCTAATATTCTTTGATATTTTTTAAAGTTTACATCACTAAGTCTAAGTAAAAGAAGCTTAAAATAAACTTTACTATCTAAATCTATATTAGTATTTTAGTAGATTATAACAGATTATAATGATTTTATTAATTTATAGTCTTTTTAACGATTTTAGCTGATTTAGCAATATTATATTCTAATAAATATCAGATTCATTTTTATTCAATTATTCAGATAAAAAACAGATATTATAATTTTTGATTCAGCTAAATTATAAATTTTGTATCACATATAATCTTCCTAAATCCTTACCAGTTCTATGACAGTTTTAGAATACTTCTCTAATACTTTTATGGTACTGAGACAGCTAAATAGTTTTTCAAATTATAGGTAATCAGCATATCATGTAAATTTTAAAAAATGGTTAAGCTACCATTCGATTAATTATTTCATTAAATCAAATTAATCATTTTTCATTATAATCAGAATCAATCACTCAATATTTTTATAAAATGACCTAATTTTCATGAAGTTCTCTTACTAATATAAACATGTCTTCTTCTACTGAGTGGTCTGACACTCAGCTTTGTCTTCTTATTAATGAATGTAAACAAAGAAATTCAAATATCATACTATTTTAAATAAGAAGAAATAAGCTTTCTGGGATAATGTCGCTAATAAGTTGAACGAATAGGAAAATATTAACTCTTTTTTAGGTAAGAATTGCTACAAGAAGTTCTTAAATCTCACAAAAGCTTTTAATGTAAGTATTCCTGCTTGGGTTTTACGTAAGATTTAGAAGAATTAAGTTCAATTTATTTTAATTTATTAGATGGTAAAAAGATATAGAGAAGATACTGGAGAAAAGAAGAGCTTAGTTGAGGATAAAATATATGAAGAATTTTTTAATATAATTCTGGTTAAAGCTTAATATGTTTCTGTAGAAGATATTTTTTCATATTTGTTTATTAACATAATCTAATTTATCAGAACTATCCTTCAATCAACAACATAACAAGAGTATTAAAAGAAAAAGTAGGATAAGCTCATATTCCTTTTTAAAACAATTTGAGCGTTTTTCAGAAGAATCATCATCTCTAAAAGTCGTCAAAAATTCTAAAAAAACACTAATAACACCATCAACTGTCGAACTTTTTATCTCTACTTTTGGCATTTTCAGTAAGTCAGACACATCTACTTTTCTATCCTTCTCTCAAAATGCGAACATTATTAATGTTACTATCAATAATAATTATACTGGTGCTTTAGAAAAAGACTAGAGTTTTTTCATTCCTAATATTTACTGCTATCTGCTAATATAAAACATTTATAGCTATAATACGTAAATCATATAGAAAATAAAAGCAAATGTAATATTTATTAATTTTAATTATATAATAAAAAATAAATTTATTGATTAAAAAACACTAGACAGGACTATTTAAAAATGAAAAGTACTTTTATTATAAATTGGCTGGTCAAGCTGAAAAAAAACTAAGTGTTTTAATATTTAGACATATAAGAGTTTAACATATAATAAGATTTGTTATTCCTTCATTCATTACAAATTTATCTATTATATTTTTACTTATCAATTATGAGAAAAAAAAATCATACAGACTAAAAATTACTACTAAAAGAAAGAATAACATATATACAAATTTATCTAGTATGATCTCACATCAGCTATGAGACCACATGCTAAGAGTTTCTATTAAAAGGAAGTATGACATATTGTTATATGTACAACATAAAGATATAAAGATATAAAAAGACATAAAAAAGATATAATAAAATACTCAAGGTGTTTTGCATATTTATAGCGTTCTAGGGTTTAATAATTTTGCTTTATAAAGTTGATATCATTTTCTTTAAAATATAAGAGCTGGTTTACTGAAAATGAATGAATGTAATGAATTTTAAATAAACCTATAGGACCAAAAATATCAACTATTTTTCTAGCCTTTTTAATTTTATCCTTTGCTATAGCTAAAGAAGTACCAGTTGGTAAATATCTCTGAACCTTCATATTTAACTTATGTCATGCCTTCTTCTGCCCTTATTATATTAATTTATTGAGATGATTGATTACTGCTAAGCTAAATTCATAATAGTAATAGATGGCATAAGAATTGGCTTTGCTGACTTTTAAGATAATTTTCATAGAATCGTTAAGGGCTAATTCTGAGGGATTATTTTTAATAAATTGCTATCAATTTTCATCACTTTAGTTAACATCTCATGTATAAAAGCTAACAATCTTTTTTCTTTACTCATATTTTTCTAACTGAGTTTTTCAAGCTCTTCTCTATTATGCTCTTAGCACACTGGACATCATTCTTTGCAAACTGAAAATGCAGGGCAATAACTAAGGTGAAAAATATGACTACATTGAAATATCACATGTGAGTTTATAATTTTTCTTTTGCAATCCAAATAAGATTCAGCTCTCTAGGGAGGTTCAGAAAAAAGATAGTGAGCCACTCTATAATCAAACTCATTAGAAATAATGCGATCGATTCTTAGAACACCATTAAGGTGAAAAAAGTCTATGTTAACCTATTTATAATTACGGTGCCATGGTAAGGGTTGAATTAATAAGCCGGACAAGAAAATAAGTTAGCATATCATATCATATGATGATCGTAAAAATTCTTCTCACTATCAACCAATAGAAGCAGGATCTATCGAATAATCATATTCGTTATATATAATACACTTTGCTTATCATTTTATATGATATAATAAATAGCGATTAGTAAAAAAATAATTTTCTCTTTTTTATTTATGATCGGTTATTATTACATCATGGGGAGGGGGAATATGTGTAAAAAAAATACATGTGAAAATAAATCGGGAGTTTTACTATAGCTTGTGATACATGCTATGTCATGTGATAATTGTGAAGACTCTTCTCACTTCTAGCCAATAGAAATATGGGATCTACCGGCTAAGATTTTAATAATGTATATAGCGCAAAGTATGCGGGTTCAGAAAAAAGAAACAAATTCGGCAAGAATTTTACCAAATATCTTCTACGCATTTCAGGTGATCGGTCTCATATTATTATCGGACAAATTTAAAATAGACCTCGCAGGGAAAGATCTAATTCATGCTATTTTTGATTTACCAATACTATCGCTATTAAAAAGCTTATAGACTTTCTCAGCCTTCGCAATATACTCTATTTTTAGTGATATTTTCATGGGCGCAGATCAGTTTGACTTATTCCATGATATAAATCAGTTATTTTATTCATTTCATTTCTGAGCTTGCATTTTTAATATATGACGTACTTATTCTAACAACAACATTTAAAATCAAAGCTAACTATATTCAAATTATCACTGATAAAATAACTAAGAATTCTAGTTATAACTCGTTTTTTTTTTCAAAATTACAGACTTGCCAACATCTTCCTTATCTTTCAAATCTTCATCATTTCTATCTGATAGATGGCGCTTTACCAGTCGTGTACTTGCTTCATGGAAGTCATTGTAATGCTGGCTGATTCAGCGATATCCTCCAAGAACTACAGAATCCTAGAATTTTCGAGAGAAGTTTAATGCAACCATAACCATAAAGCAGGAAAATTTAAAAAAAATTCTTACCTGCACGATTTCTATTTCTTCTTTTACGACGTCTTTCTTGGTAAGTAATTTGGTTAATTGTGCTACTTTTATTCTACGGATCTTCATCGTTCGCGGTATCTGTTGTATCTGATGAAATGATATGTTTATTAACTAATGTGGAAATAGTTATACAAAATATTAAGTTGCCTATAAAGCATGTGAAACAGCTAGAAGATTGCACTTTCAGAGATAAGGGAGCATCTCTTCTCACAAGATAATATCTCACCACGCAAGGATACACCTTGTAGCAAAAGAACACACTATCTCTAAACTTTTATTTGCTAAAGTACAATCAGACACGAAAATTCCTCTGAGGTGTTGAACTAGTATATAAATGAGGATCCACCCACTAACTAAGCATAAAGCTAGCCTACAAGCAAACAGCTTGCATAGATAATCAGTCTTCAAACTATATCTTCCTAGTATCCTAGTGAAACAAGTAATATTTACCTTAAATTGACTCTCTAAATATGTCAGATATAGTTGTGTGAGGTGATCTTTTGAAAATAATTGTTTTAAAATCTCGATCTCCTTTTTAAATGAATCATGAGCACGATCTTTTTTACATCGTGTAGGTATTCCGAAAATTTATGGAGACTCAGCTATTTATCGTAAGGTTTGTTCCAAAGTTCTGTAAGAATGCGAAGGTGAAATCATAAGTAAAGAAATATCAGTAATAAATAATATGTTTGCAAATCTTACCATAATAGCGAAGGAGTTGGCAGAAATTTTTGGGTAGGTAAGTGTCTTTCGGAATACTCCTAGAAGTTAACGGATTCACAATAACTTCAGCATCTACAACAACTTCAGCATCCACGACAGCTTCAGCATCCTCATTCTAAAAAGGTAATGATTGCTAGACTGTTTGTGTGAATGGAGGAGAAAAAGCCGAATAAGTTTGGAATATTCGATATTATCAACAAAATATGATGACAAAGCAAGATTTAATCTATATCAGAGTTGATATTTTTTTTATTTCAAAGCACTTACCAATGGAAATGGGTTTTTCTACAATAACTTGAGGTGGTGTTTGGTAACAAAAAGGTGGAAGGATATCAGACGTCGAAATTAAAGACCTTAAGTAGGTACATTTCTCATCCTCTGTGTCCAAATCATCAAGGCATGATAGCGCGTCAACTCGCCTATTTTCTTTTCCAGTAAAGTAGCTTAATAATTTTATTTTTTCGCCTGAGGTGTTTAATTTCCATGTTTTGGATAAAGTTGTACAAACTGAAAAAAAAATACGGGTACTATCTAGGGAATAGTAAATTTAACGGGGGGCTAACTTATTGTTACACATATCGCCAGATTTGAAATTTATAAAATTGATTACACAAGCTATACATACTATTAAAATAAAATGATTTTCACAAAAAAAAATACATTCGTTCATAATAAAGTAGCCGATCTTAGAAGTCGAAATCATTCTAGCTAGCTCTATATAGTCGAAGTGTTTTTATTCAATTTGGATCATTGCTGTCTTCTGAGAGTATTAAAAAGAAAGCTAAGTTTATAATTAAACATGATATATATCATTTCAATTAATGTATTTGTATTAATTTTCTAATTTTATTATTTTTTTATTGAAATAAACGATATTAGTAAGACGTCTGCTATATATTCTAATTCAAATTACAAACATTTGTCCTTTTGATATGACTTCTTTAGAAGAAAAAGGAGTTTCTTTTTTCAGGTGATCCAAAATTAAAGGTAACAAATCCTTCTTTCTTTTTTTTTTCACATCATCTCCAAAAGCCCAAAGTAACCATTATAATTCACTTATTAGAAATACTTTTGAGAATTCTACTTCAGCATCATCTGACTGTACCCAAATTTGAAGCTGCATTAATCCAAATACAGGATCTTTTGGAATGTTAAATTTTTTCAATTTATTTTCGACTTAGTTGAATTTAAGTATCATTACACATGGCTTTAAGATTTTCCCGAAGACTTAAAGTGCCTTTTTCAGAAGTAAGATTATTGAATTTTCATCAAGATTTTTGTCTACTTCTTATATAGATAGAAATAATTCATTCATAATTTTTAACATCATCTTTTAACTTTTGCTTTTCAGTATTTATAGGTTCAAATAGCTGGCTAACAACATTAAAGAGTATATTAAAAGATTCTAACAATGATAGGTTATATAATAAGCTATTATGTATGTATTGGAGAATGTTGGGGTCAAATTTCTCATGTTTTTCAAATAATAATAATACAAAATTCTAGAAATTCTTGACCTGGAATTACATTTGTTATTTGAGATCAGACATCTTGCTCATAAATAACTTGTTCTGAATTTAAAATCATAAGATGAGTGCAAATTGCTTTATGTGATTTTATTATGTTGTCTCTTTTGGTTAGCTTATAAACAATCCATCCAACAATATAAGAAAATTTTGATGCCTCTGCTGGTTCTAAAATAATGATTTTTTCAGGTATTAAATAATAATCTGCTAAAAGATGAATTTTTGAATTATTTGGTGTTGTATTTCTACTAAATGTGAATTTGATTACATTTTGTAAAAGCAAATATGCAATAAGTCTTTGAATCAAAGAACCATTCAAATTAGTTGCAGCAAGAAAGTCTTGATACCAAATTCCTGAATATTGATAGTTGTTGAGACAAATTTCAAGATGAGAACTCCAACTTGCCAACCATTGAACTCCTATTTTCTTTGGAATAGCCTCACAAGCCAACTTTCTAATAATATTTTATTATTTATGTAATAATTTATCAATAGAATTCTGGTAAAGAATGATTTTTATAAAATTATATCGTTTATTTTGAAGGTGAAAGATTCTAAGATTTTCTTGATTAACATTTTCATTATATATCTTTAATGAAATATTAATTTTTCCTATGATTAAGTTATGTAAGAAGACTTTTAAAAACATTGTGAGAAAGAGATGATAATTTTTCCAAACAGGTAAGGTGTTTTTGATAATTGTTTTCTTCATCATTTAGGAAATTTTTTTATCTTTTCGATAATCTCTAATTATAAGTAGATATTTTAATATTTTTATATATCAATGTACCGTATTCCTTTAAAAATAAGCAACCTTTTTTATTATAAGGTTGCTTACTTTCGGGTATTTTCAGATATTTTATAATATTTAATATATATTGCTTATAAAATTCATTTTTGAAAAATTTCAAATTTGATCCTGTGACTATTGGTTACCTATTTGTCATGTTTGATCAGCTATTGTCACGTAAAAATGTGAACAGAATTGCATTAAATACTCCATTCCAATTCATTTGTACGCTTGTAAAAAGAAAAAATGCCGCTACCTAAAAAAAAAGATTGTTAAGCACACTTTATATTCTATTAAACAAAAAATACAGGTAGTTATCTACACAAAAGAACACAAATAAATTAAGGTTGCAGAACACTTAATGCTTGTATACAATTCTTTTAGAAGCCATTTAAAAGAATTGGTTAAAAAAAAATTTTATGAGTGTAGTTTTGATCTTATAGTAATCTCAGGTGGATTGATTAATATTTACTAATCACTTAACGTTGCAATAAACAACCTATTTAAAAATCACTTTCATATAGAATAATATGCTTGGGTAGTTCGTAGCAGTACAGGAGAAACAGCTGCGGGAAACCTTTGTCATGTTAAGTTTAATGATGTGTGTTTATAAGTTAAAAATTCCTGGGAAAGAATTTCTAACGAAATCATCATAGGATCCTTTAAGATATGTGAACTATCGATTGACTTAAATGAACCAGATTCTAATTTAGAGATTATTGATAAAGACGATATTGATACTAATTACGATGATGGAGATAGTGATGATGATGACAATTATGATGATGATAATGCGAGTAATATTGATAATGACAATGGTAGTTCTAGCAATTATGTTTAATATAATAAATAAAATTTAAGAATCTATTATAAATATATTTTCAATTGTTTTTAAATAACAATTATAAAGTTATATAAAGCATCATGTTGCTTATTTTCAGATATAATACTATTTTCAGAGTTGCTTATTTTCAGAGGAATACGATATCAAATAATAATTTAATGATATATACCTTCTTAATAAAGTAGTAATACCAGTTCCAATATCTTCAGCCTTTTCATAATTAATACTTTTTATTTCTGATGAAATTAGTGCTATTACTTGATATTTGTTTAATGTATATACATAAGATTTAGTATTGTGTAGAAGAATCTTTACCAAGTTTATGGATTGTATCAAAAAGCCCTTCAAGCATATTTTGTGAAATGTGCCTTGATTGAATTATTGAACCTGAATATTTTTTTAAAATATATATTAACATTTCAAAAAAACCATTAATAGATAAAATCAATCAAATTAGCATTGTACTGAAATCCATTCTTTAGGTCCTGTTTTTTGTTTATCACCACTTATAAACCAATTATAAATCTCTTTTAAAGTATTAATATGTGGATCTTCTAAAGACTGAAAACTAATTTTACTATACATTATTTAACAATATTTTTGTGAATATTTGATAAAATCCTAAAAAAAAAAAATTATCTTACATTTCATTTTCAAAATCTAAATAACCAACATACAGTTTTCATATTGATTCCAGAGAAGTCCTATTTTAATATATAAATTATTAAATTTTATAATAAAATGTAATTAAAAAAAAATTTTTTAATGTTTATCTTTTTGAATTTTAAAAGAATCATGTGAAAAAAATTCTATCCGCCTATATTCCCAAATATTATTTATTGATAAACTAGTTAACATTTAATCAGCGATTTTTATTCACATTTATTAATATAACTTTTAAGTATAGAAATTGATGGTAAACGTATGATTACTTTTATTGCATCATAAGTTGCATGACTAGATCTGCTATACAGTCAATTCTTTTTACAACGAATTTTGATATAACGAATTTTACAATACAGATTTTTAGTATTAGACAGATTTTTAAATATAAAAAAATCCTTACTATACCAAATTTAGTAATTAAAAATTCGTATTATGTTTAACAAATTAAAGTCAAAAAAAATTATATATAAAATGACTCTTTTTATAACAAATTTTCTCTATAACTAATTTTTTTTTGATACAATGAAGTTTTGCTTAAAATGAATTTTACTAGATTTATATATATAAAATTATATAGTTCTCTGTACCTAGTTTTTAAATAAAATTAAAAATGAATAAATATTCACTTTATACATTATGTTTTGTGTTTCATATTTTTTTTTACATATTTTATTTTTATGTGTTTTTTTTTCTTTGCATAATGCTGATAATGCTAAAAGTAAACTTAAAAAACAACTTAATCAACCTACTAACAAATAAGATGAATCTTTAAAAAAAAATGAAAGTCTCTTACAGCTATACAAAAAAAGAACTTTGTTTGAAAAAAATATCATTACCTTTTTTAAAACAAAAGACTTGGCTAATGAATATAACGTTAGTAAAAGCATGGTAAGTAACATTTTAAAGAAGAAAGACCATTGGCTTTCTGTGGATACTAATTCATATCAAACCAATTTGAAACGTGATAAAAAAACTCCATTCTCTCTCATTAAAGAAGTGTTAGTAATATAGATAGATAATACACTCAAAGCTAATCTCATTATTACTGATGATATTCTTTTAACAAAAGCCTTAAATTTTGCTTTTTTATTAAAGAAGAATAAGTTTAAAGTGTCTAATGATTATGTGGACAACTTTAAAAAATGACAAACTTAAACAGTACATTATACATGAAGAAGCCGCAAGTACGTCGTTCAAAGATCTCAAAATAATGAGAGAGAATCTCTGGCAATTATTAAAAGAATATAGTCTTGAAGATATATTCAATTGTGATGAAACAGGACTGTTTTGGAAGATGAAACTATGTCGAATGATATCCAACGAATAAATATCAAAAAAGAAACAATCAAAGGATTATATAATGATCCTACTCACATGCAATACAACGGGGAGTGAAAAGCTGACACCTTTATTCATACACAAGTATGAAAATCTTAGGGTTATCAAAAATATTGATAAAAGAACGCTTTCAGTTGAATACTATTGAAACTAAAAAAGTTGGATACAGATTTCAATCTGAAATGATTATATAAAAAAACTTGATACAAAAATGAGAAGACAAAATCAGAAAATTATCCTTCTTATAAACAATGCATTGACATACGCTCTTTATGAAACCACCTGTCTGATTAATATTACTATTCAATCCCTTCCTTCAAACATTATTGCATATCTCCAATCTTGTGATCAAGGTATCATAAATAGTTTTAAGGTAAGAAATGTAATTGATTTAATAATTCTTTAGTTAAAAT